TAGAAATAAGGTAACTACAATTATAACCCCAATTAGGGTACTTATAACCTTACTTACTAAGTCCCATGATCCTCCAAGTAAACCCTAAACCCTAAAACCCTAAACCCCTAAACCCCTAAAACCCTAAAACCTTCAGGGCGTAGGCCCCTTTAGGGCTGGGCATCCGTGGATTTTTGCCGGGGGCCGATGGGGATCCAGGAAACTCTGCAGCTCGGGCCCTTCGGTTTCAACTCTTCATGGCTGCCGGAGGGGTCCTAGACTTGGGGGTATATTCTACTATAATTATAATAAGGGACCAAGAAACTCTGGGTATATTTTACTATATTTAGAGTAAGGAACCAGGAAACTCTGCTTCATGGCTACCGGACGGGGTGTCCTAAGCTTTCGGGTTTGCAGGGGAACTCAGGGAGACGTCCCTCCCACCCTCCCGGTTTAGGGTTGAGGGTCTAGGGTTTTCAGGGGGCTTGATGCGACGATTGTGTTGGGATTGCAAGTGCCAGGGGGCCTGCTTCCTAATCGCCGAACTCCTACATGGCCAACCTCGGGGTGTTCAGCTCCCAAGCCCTCGATTTCAGTTTCAAAGCCTCTGAACTCTTTGGGACTTTTCTGCTCGACGTTGCTTTTGCGGTCTAAGGCGCCTAATCCGATGCTTTGCATGGATTTGGGCTGCAACTCCCAAGGCAACGGTGGGATGCACCCTGCTGCAAGACGAAAAGATTAAATGCAAGAAAGCCCCGTCGGCTTTGAGATCCTGGTGCTGTGCTTGGTCGTATGGACAATGGACGGGAGCTGTGGCGGAGGCGCTCTGCCACAGTAGCCTGTCTGTCTTGCAGCCTCTCAGTTGTCTCAGCAAGGGCTGCTGAGGCCGCAATTGTTCTTCAAGTTCTCTGTGTCGATCATTTTCTGGATGATATCATTGAAGTTCTGCCTGTAAGTGTCCCCACAGCAGCTGGAATCCCTGATGCAGTTCATGTATGTGCGAACTCCATCGCAGCCGGGCCTGGCAGGGCAAGTCACGGCCCTTCTCGCGTCGCACTCACATCCCTGTAGGACCACAGCCAGCAGGGCCATGACGGTCACGATAACCAGTGTGCCCCTCACTGCCATGGTGAGAGCCGACCCACCTGCCGGTCTAAATCCGCGGCTGGAGCCGAGATGTGCGGGCGGAGGTTGCTGCGATCGCGGAGCTTTGTTGAGGCACTGCTTGCTTACATGTTCCTGCAGTTTGAGTGCCAACTGCATGCTGCTACCTTGTCAGGGTGTCTCGAGAAAAACGCATGTGCAAAACATGTCCCGAGCTTTCTCCGTATCGAGGAGGAGAAGGCTTCAGGGATAAGGGTTAGGGTTTTAGACTTGTCATGGCATGAAGCTCTGGTTCTCGACCTTGAAAAAAGTGCTGTCGCCACCATTCGGCGCCTTCTCTGAAGACGACCTAACGGCAGACAAGTGGCTTAATCTTTTTGGCGCGGTCTGCATAGCGCAGGGTCGACATGGTCTCCTGCATGGGCACATACAGAGCGAGTGTATCAAGGATAAGGGTTTGAGAGGGTTTTGGGTTTCGTGCTTTGGGCTCTTGTTCTTTAACCTTAAACCTTAGCCCCTCCCAGAGAGGCCACCAAGTCCGAGCGCGACCCAGAAGCCGCAGACGCCCACACCACGGTTTGGGGTTTTCGATTGAGGCTTTAGGATTTATGCTTTAGGGGCCACTGCAGTTCGCAAAGGCTCCGAGACCCTTACAACTATCCTATTTATACTAAACACCGAAACCCTCTCTTAACTTCCTATTAGGGCCCTACGTTACGCCCTCCCTACACAACTCCTTCAACGACCGGCACCGACGGGGTCCTCGTGATTCGAAGAGGCCGGGGACAAAGCGCAGATCCTGAGTCGGGACTCTCTGTCTGTACATATGGGGAGTTTCCGAAATCAGGGGTACCTTCTTTTGGGGTCCTTATAATAAGGATCCTACTATTTGGGGTACTACACTAGGGTCCCCTATTTTCTGAAACCCCCATATGAACTTCCTATGTGTTTTTGTTTTTGCATACTGTACGTAAGTAAGCAAACATCATGACGAACCGATAGAACCTGTATGATCATATAAGGGTAGTTCTCTAAACTAGGGTCCCTTTTAGGTACCGGAAAGTAGCACGGCACCCTTGCAAAAAGAGGCCCTAAAAGGAGCCCTTAACTTGGAGAACTACCCATGCAATGCAGGGGTCTAAATAATTAGAATAGGGTTTTGGCCGGTTCCTTATTATGATTATGGTAGAATATACCCCAAAAACCCTCTTCTAATTATGAAGGCCCCTACTGTACCCTAAACCCTAAACCCTAAACCCTTTTCTAAATATGATGACCCCTACAGTCACAGTAGGCTGGGCGCATGATCGTCTTGCTGGAGCCCCCCAGGGCATTCTGCAGCAGGCGGGTGAGCTTGGACTCCCTGTAAGGGATGACGACCTCGGCTTCTTGGATGGGCCTCTCCAGAAGTCTGAATGACCTGACTAATTCGAATATCGTTTTGTCTTTGTATACTGTAATTACCATAAGTAGAACAAAATAAGGACAGAAGGGGATGCTTTCGCTACAAGTAACTATTCCAACGGCTATATTCAACCCTGAACCCGGAGGTTTAAGGTGTAAGATTTAGTAGACATTTCTTGAGGGGTGCCCGTGTGATTGGGAATTTGGGGCTTCAGGATGTTTCTGATTCTAGGAGCTTCAGGATCAAACACTATCAGATTATCTGGTGGCTTAGTGTTCAGAATTGAACAGTGTTTAGGCCTTAGGGTTTGGGGATGGTGAGGATCCCAGGATGCTCAGGGCGTTACATGTTTGGCTGTTGGATCTCCACGCCCGAAGGCAAAAGCTGGTTTCCCTCCTTTCTCGATATTGCTTGAGGCTTGAGGAGCAATGTTCAGGTTTTCAGGTTCTGCTGGCGCTTGGAATTTGACTTGTTGGAGCATTATGTAAAACCGTAGAAAGTTTCAGACTTGCAGGACATTATGAATCACCTTCTGTCTGGTTTAGAAGCGATCGTTGCTAGGCTCCTGTGCAACGTGCCTCCATACGGTTGGCATGCAGCATCGGCTGACTTTTTCTGGTATCCGTGAGACTGTAAAGGACTCTGCAGAGTGCGCTCTCGACCAATTGCCAGCAAGTTGCATTCTTCTTCTTCTCATCGGCGAGCTTTTCGATGACGTTGCCTCAGTCAAAGCCCCTCCAGAAAACCTAAACCGAAACCCCTAAACCCTGAACCCAAAACCCATGAACTCTAAAGCCTGAGCCCTCAACCCTCAACCCCAACCCGAAATCCTAAGCCCATCCCGAAACGTTGAGCCCTTCTTGAGGGTACCGGGTCCGGGGTTTAGGGTTTTAAGGTCCAAGGTTCGGGGTTTAGGGTTTAGGTTTAGCGTTCAGGCTTAGGGTTTAGGAGGGTTAGGAGGGTTTAGGAGGGTTTAGGAGGGTTTAGGAGGGTTTAGGAGGGTTTGGGAAGGTTTAGGAGGGTTTAAGGGTGTCGGGGCTGCGGTTCAGGGGTTAGGGGGCTGAGGCTTCAGAGGGGAAGCTATGAGGCAAATCATCGGAGTTCAGGGACTGAAAAACTAGGTATCAAGCTGCACTATGGTTATACAAGATATCCAGGGGTTCACACTGGATCAGAATAATGGCTGTTCTGCTTTAGGGTTCCGATGGAAGCAGCGGAACAGTAACGGCAGCTCGTTACAGGAACACCTCGCAAGACGGACCCCAGTTTGGAAACTCTACACCGAACATGTCTAGGGCCCGCTGACGTTTGCTGCAAACCTTGCTAAACCTGTTTTGCATTTGCAAAGCCTCCGAACTTCTCTGAAAACCTATAGAGCACAACACGGAACGGAAGCCGGAAGTGTCAGTAGAGGTGCCGAGGGCACTCAGCGACTTGTTGATGTGCGAACCCTCCTGTTGCAGATTTAAGGCTTGACTAGCTAAGTGACACGGAACTTAAGATTTTGGGGTATAGGGCTTTGAAACCCTAGACCCGAATCCTTAAACGCTAATTCAATGTGCTTCGGCCTCCACCCTGAACCCTGCAGCCTCAAGCCGTAAAACCGCCTCGGAAGGTGACCAAGCCGAAAGGCAGCATGAGCAAAAGGCTTCTAAGCCTCTAACGAATATGAGGCAATAAAGTATGCTGTGACAAAACATAATAAACAAAATACATCATAATACAACTTAATATTACGGTACCGTGCTTGGAGAGGTGCAACTGAAGGTCTAGGGCTCAAGCTTCAGGAATCAGGGTATGCGATATGGAATCTGATGTGTAAGCACTCCAAGAGGACACTACTGGGCTTGAGGATTTAAAGAAAATCGGGATGTAGGATTTGGGATTGACCTTTAACAGAATGCTCAACATACTGGACAATTCCAAGCCCTCTGAACCTCCTAGAAACCGAACCCGCGAGACGCCCTGAACACAATAGCGAAAGCTCAGGGGCAAGACAACGAACTGGGCTGAGCCATGGTCCTTGAGCCGATCGCCAGTCGCCCCGGTCTGACCGGCCTGGCATCGACAACACATTGCCGCAGGCTCTGACTTCGGGGTCCCAGGGCCACAGGCTCCAACCCTGAACCCTAAACCCCCCTAAAACCCACTAAACCCACAGAGCCTAAACCCTAAACCCCTGCTTCTAAACCCTGAACCCTAAACCATACCCTGAGCATCGGAACCTCAACCCCAATCGCTTGCCCAGCGAGCTCGAAGGCTGGACCCCGGATATGCTATAGAATCATATAATATAATATATATATATATATAACATTATGCTTCATTATATCATGTTATATTTGTAGTTCATTTCATACACTATATTTTAGTATATCATACATGATGCAATATATCCGCAATCGAAAAATGGTAACTTTGACTTCCGCGCACACCGACTTCTTGCTGCGGTTTCGTCACACAGGAAGCTGTCCTTCCCACAAATCCTCATGCATTTCCAGCAGCTGTCATGTACTGAAGCAACTGCTGGTTCTAGGGACCGGCTTGGATGAACTGGTGCTCCGCACGGAGCTCCATAACTTGACTTAGTTTTGCTTCAGCCTCTGGGTCCAGTCCTCGTCGACTCAAGCGGGCAGCTTGCTTTCGCGCTGAATGGATCTTCCTCGCCCGTTCTTGTCCTGCAGCGTCCAATCCCTTCCCAAACATTTGGATCCCGGTGAGGCCCGCCAACGTCTGCTGCGCTTTGCAAAGCAATCCGGCGTCCAACAGGTGTTGTAGCGTTTGTTGGCAGTTGGACAGGCCGAAAACCCGAAGCTGCTTTCTGTCAACTGTTGCATTTATGCCCAAGGTTCCGGCTGAAAAGTCGTGAAGCTTCTGCAGCACTCGGGGATACTTGTGCTCAAAGCTCAGCACCAGTGAGGCTCCGGACTTCGGCTGAATGTATCCCGTTGCATCGAAGAAGCCAGCCCAATCTTCCCAGCTGGACCGCGGAGTCGCGCTCCTTCAGCGCACGCAGCTCGGCCTTACGGCCCTCTCTGCGGGAGATGTGTTGCTATCATAAGCAACTAGATGGATTTACAGCTCATGATAACCCTATACCAACCCCTAATAGCAGCCCTTTACTGTGGTCCTTACAGGGACCCCTTAACGAACCCAGCAGCTGGCTTCACGTCTGATCTCGGCTGCGTCACATGCCCGGGGCCAGCGGCCCTTCCCACGAATTCTGGTGCAAGCTCTGCAGCTTGCGTATGTACTCAAGCAACTGATGGTTCTCATGCACGGCTTTGAGTCGCTGGTGCTCCTGCTTGAGCTCCGCAACTTCACGTTGTTGTGTTTCAGCTTCCGTGTGCAGTCCTCGTCGACTGAAGCTGGCAGCTTTCCTTTGTGCTGCGCTGATCTTATTTGCCCGCTCTTGGCCTGCAGCTTCCAACCTCTTCCCAAACATTTGGTTCCCAGTGAGACCCGCAAGCTCAGTGCTGACTTCAGCCGCATTCTCTGGTGTCAGGCTCAAAGCGAGCTGCGCCTGGGTCGCTTTGCAAAGCAACCCGGCTTCCAACAGGCGTTGCAGTATCTGCTTGCAGTTGGACAAGCCGTAAAACCAAAGTACGCAGTATGCCAGTTTTGTGTAATTCCGAAATGCTGCATCTATGCCTGATGTAGTGGCCACAAACTCACAAAGGCTGCGCAGCACGCGAGGATGTTTTTGTTTGATTTCCAGTCTCAGCGAGGCTGCTCCGTTCTTCTGCGAGATGTAACCCTCTGCATCAAAGAAGCCGGCAAAGTAGCTCCAGCTGCACGGTCCCGACACCGTCGAATCGTGCTTCTTCAGAGCGCACAGCTCGGCCTTGCAGGCCTCTCTTCGGGATTTTGTCTTGGGCCATCGGGCTGCAAGCATGAGCTGCTTCTGCTTAGTGATGCTTCGTAGTGCCAGGAGCCTGGCTGCTCGACGGGCCGAGTCGCCGCAAGCTTGCCAACGAAGCATTGGTTTTCCCAAACCTTTGCCCCCTGCGTCCCGCGTGATGCTCCCACCGAATGCATCGCGGAAGAGAATGAGAACTTCCGCCTGGTCGTAAGACTGCCCCACCACCAACATGCATCCGGACAAATCACCCTGATATCTAACGCAGCCATCCCCGTCGAAGAAGCCGGCCAAGTACTTCAGCCTGGCTTTCGCCGGCCGATGTGACGGCTCTCTGCTCTCCGCTCGCAGAGGCAGCCTGTAGGTGCGTCCGCTTGCCCAAAAACACTTCAGCCTTGGCCATGGGAACTTCTTCAGCAACTTGCGCAGGTCATCGTTCTGTCTTTGGATTTCCGGCAATTTGTCTTCCGGATGTGCAGATAGGGTGAGATACTTTGGCAATTTTTGTGTTTTTCCTCGGACTTCCTGCAACGTGATAAAAGGATTTGCAGGTAGGGTGCAGCGTGTCCCCGCGGCAGCAGTTGCAAAACCTTCTGGGCTGATGCAGGGCCAAACACGATATACCAGTATCAGACCCGTAACCAGACACTTCCACCAGCCTCTCAGCTGTCCCCCCTTCCTTCTCGCATACTCCACTTCTCGCATTACTGTGGCTGGTCGAACACATGTAGCCGGGGCAGCCTGAGCCCAAACTCTAGGCAAAGACTCCAGAACTTGCATTTCTGAGTTCCAAACTTGAGCGTCCCCGCGTTCCGCAAACCTGCAGAGACCTCAAACCTCTGCCCTACCTACGGACATCAGCACACGAGAGAGACCAGGAAGACCTTTCAGGTTGTAAGACCTGTCTCGCTGCCCAACATAGATCAGAGTTCGATTGTGGGGCATTTGCTGAAAGTGTGCTGCGTCAATCTGTTCTTGTGGGGCTCGGGGAAGTTGGGATATCAGAAGTCGACTGTCAAGATGCAGGCCGGCCTTCTCGCTTCCAGCCAGGTCTACCTGAGTTCAGCGCGAATTGGCAAAGGCGACAGCGTGCATCTGTTGTCCATGATTCGAAAACCGTACAGGCAGGCTGCGAGGTTGATCATCGATACCGTGGCAGACCCGTCCCGGATGGCCTTCACAGGACAAGGGATTACATTTCAGGACTTCGGGCGTAGTGAGAGTCTAGAGGAAATAAAGGCACTGCAAACGAAGCCTTGGGGTTCTCAAGTGCGTCTGAATTCCGCGATGTATGCGACCCAAGGAAGGGGCATTCCTCAGAGTGCCTAGGCTTTCCGAGAAAATGGGAGGGGAGGGTCCAAAAGCGTTGTTCTTGCGGCAAAACAATAGCTACGGCGTTTGCAGTTGTCGTCGCCGTCTGAAACCTGAAAGCTACACCTGAAACCCGGAATCCCAGAGATTTTGGCAAAAAACACCCGAGCCCCAAAAAAAACACGTGCACAAGTGCCCTGAACGAAGCTCAACCCAAAAAGCACACAAGCAGAAAACAACGACAAAGCAGAGCCTGAACTCTGCATCGCTGGACCCCTAAACCCCACATCCCCAAAGCCCTCAAGCCTTGAGGCCTGACCCCCCAAAGCCCAAAGCCCCAAAGCCCCAGGAAGCCCTGAAGGAGCCTTGAACTCGATGATCTGCACCGTATGGGCCCGGCTCGAGGTCGCATTCATCAAAGTGGAGCCGACGGTGCCTTGGGACGACACCAACTTAACAAGGCCGCTTGTAACGCTTTGGGGTTTGGGGTGTAGGAGCTTAGGGGTTTAGGGGTTTAGGGGTTTAGGGGTTTAGGGGTTCAGGGTTTAGGGATGAGGTGCAGGATTTAGAATCTGGTGAACAAAACTATTCATGTGCTTTGCGGGTTGGATAGCGAAGAACTCATGACAAACAGGGCTTGGGCAAAGTTGGACCATGGCCCCACAGGGCTGCTATTCCAGGAGATGCTTTTCATGAACTCCTCTCGCCAAACCCTGATGGGTAGTTCTCTAAATTAAGGTCCCCTTTTAGGTACCTTTTATAAGGGTGCCGTACTGTATTGGGGACCTAATAAAAGGTACCGTAATTTAGAGAACTACCCACGTGCTTCTCGCTGGTCGGTATAAAATGCTTCCAAGGCATTCCAAGATCACCAACTCAGGTCCCTCATGACACCTCCGCAAACCCTGCTGTGCTAAGTGCTTCTCAGTTGCGGTGTTCAGTCGCCTCCTCGATGGTCGTCTCGATCGCCTGCAAGCTACCTACTAAACGTGGGATCTTCTCTCAGATGCCCTAGAAATCGACATGCATGCTTGCTCTTTGCAGCTTCTACTCTTCCTTCGGGTTCCCTGTTACATGTAGACTATACTATACCCCAAGAGCCCATACTAGTCATAAAGAGACTCCCATGCTGGCCTCTTACGTCGCATCCTCAATCCTCAGAAGTTGCTTCAGCTTCCGAAGTTCCGCCTTGTCCCTGACATCCTTGCAGTCTTTGCAAGCTCCGAAAATTAGGGATACCTTATTTGGGGGTCCTTATAATAAGGGTCCTACTATTTAGGGTACTATATTAGGGTCCCTTATCGGAAACCCCCATTGATCCAGCTGCACCCTCGGATCCCTGAGAGAGCCTCGTAGCACTCTACAGGTCTCTTGATGACCCCATCGATGTAGATGCCCAGAGCCTCCCATTCAGCGTGCGTCTGTCTGCGGGGATTCGGGTTTAGGGTGCACCGTGGCGGCATGGCCTTAAAAAGACTAAACTTCCGAGCCCACCTCCAACTGTGTTACAGGTCTTCTCCTTCAGCGAACTCCGAGCAACTGAGGATTTTCTGCGTTTACGTGGAGGGTCCGGGGACTTAGAGAGTGAGGATAGCGGCGCCCTGAATGGGGCCAACTGGCCAGCCACGAGAATTGTGCGTCTAAAGTCTTGGAGTTTAGGCTTCAAGGAGCCCTCAAGAACGATGGTCGAGGTCCCCGAACCTGAAGCTCAAGCCCGCGATCCAAAACCGTGGCAAGGTGTGACACTACATCCCCGAACACCTGAACTGCTTGGAGGATCATGGGACTTAGTAACTAGGGTTATACATAAAGTAACCGAAATTATAACCCCAATTAGGGTTCTTATAACCTTACTTACTGAATCCCATGATCCTCCAAGTGGGAAGCCCCAAACCACGACGAAACCACGAAGGTTACAACATCAACACAAAACGAGAGCGAGCAGCAGGCCGACAGACAAAGAAGGATGAGTAAGTACCCTTGTTTAGGGCTTAGGGTTTAG